TATATATATATATATATATATATATATATATATAGGTAAATGATTGTGTGAGAAGGGAAATTATGGTAATAAGCTGATATGTGTTGATAATTTAACACATAAAGCATTCGTTTTTATGTCCTTTTAGTTAGAATAATTTTTTTCATTCCCACTTTGAGTCATTTTTATTTATTTATTTATACATTTGTTATTATGAAGCTAAATATTGTGGTTGACTTGTTGGTACTCATAGAAGATGCTAATAGAGAATTTTTGTGAAAACAGCAGGATGCTACAGCATTGGTGCAACGTCGATCTGATTCATGTGCAGCTTTTTGGAGGGCTTAATAGTTAAGATGCTGACTTTTTGACAAATGGAAGACAGCTGTAGAAACTGACTTTTTGATTTAAAATCTGTTGCTAAGACTTTGATTAGACTATTGTACTTTTTAGTTACTCTTTTGTTACTATGTAACTTAACTTTAGGAAGCTTAGCCTCAAAGTATTTTATTTTTGTCTTTTAGTGTCCCCTTTTTGTGTATAAAAGGAAGGCTTGGGGTGCCTTTGTTTTTCATCCATTGTAACCCATTCTATCCCATTGTATCCCATTTCTTTCATCAAAAACATTAGCTAGTATTGTAAACCCTCTCCAAGGGTGATTTTTATTAATCTTTTGAGTTCTTCATCTTTTTATTCATTTATATTATTGTCTTTTATTTTACGTTCCTTTACGATTATTGTCCTTTACATTCTGTTATTTAATTTTCGCAATTTACATTCTCGTAATTTACATTCCCGTCATTTATTTTCTCGTCATTTACATTTCCGTCATTTATTTTCTCGTTATTTACTTTACGCAATTTACGTTTATGTCTATATTTTCCGTCATTTATTTTTTACTTTCCGTTATGAGTAACTAAGCTTTTATTGCTTGGGTGTGAGACGGAAATGTGAGATTTTCAAACCGAACGAAGGTGGCTAAGTGTTTTTGTAAACGACGTTCCATTGTTTCATTCGAGTTTTTATAAAACCAAGCACACTTCTTGACGGGTTGATCACTTCGAAAGTGTTAAAGTGCGATGGACTTAGAGATAAGCCATTGATAAGCACGTCAACTTGGATGACATAAGAGGTAGACTTGAGAAAGTTGCCGTCAAGGAGATTTGTCATTTATGTTTTTCAAACTTAACTCCCGACGGGTTGGTCACTCTTCGAAAGTGTCAAAGTGTGATAGATTCAGAGATGAACTATCAAGAACACGCCAACTCGAATGATATGTGAATCGACTCGAGAGAGTGATTTTTAACAAAGAGATTTGTTTATCCATATATTTTGAAAACACCATCGTGTCACTATCCCCAATCCGGACACCACATAGAGATATGGGTGGAAAGCTATAAAAGTGCAATGGTGAAGTCCGAGAGGAATGCCTTCAAAATAGATGGTGAAACTTAGTTTCGAAACACTGCTTGCTGTAGCATTCCTATAGCATTGGCTGCTGGAATTTGTGTTTGGATCTCATCTTAAGTCTTACACCCTTGCTTCTTTTATATATTCTGTATTCTGTTTGGATTCACCTTAAAGTCAAACAAAATTCTTCAAAATCGTCATCTGAAATCATCTCTTTCATTGGACTCTAATCTAGCTTTGGCTACAATCTCCGTGGACGATAATCCGGTACTTGTACCACTTTATTACTTGAAAAGACGACATTGGGCCGTATTGTATATTTGCTTTGTGGCCCAATTTCATTAAGTCTAAAGGTGTGAAATATCAACCAACCAAGTTTTTGGCACCGCTGCCGGGGATTGTTTCGCTAAAGTTTTATTTTGAGTAAAGTAAAAGATTTGATTTTTCTTGTACCATCGGAATCGTTTTTAAAAGTGGTGTATGCCACCGTCACAACGCGGAGAATTTTTCGAATTTGATCCCGATATTGAGAGAACGTTTCACCATAGGAGAAGGGCTCAAAGAGCATTTTTTGCTCTACTCCCTCCAAACATGGCGTTACCGCCCCCAATTATTCTGGAAATACCGCATTTGGAAAACCAACCGCCGGTTTTGAACCAATTCCATCATTCCCGAACTTTCCACAAGGACACCCACATAATAGTAATGATAATAATTTGGACACAGAATCGGAACCTAATGACCACCAAAGAGCACAAACTCCGAACATCATTAATTTGGCAAATTCAAAAAATGGGAGGATCATGGATTATGCTATTCCGGATTTTGAGCAATTAAATTCCAGGATAGTTAGACCACATATGACCGCTCTCCATTTCGAACTAAAACCGATAATGTTTCACATGTTGCAAACAAATGGCCAATTTTTCGGATTACCTTCGGAGGACCCACATTCGCATTTAAAATCTTTTATACAAATCATTGATGCCTTCCTGATCCCGGGAGTGTCAAATGACGCTCTAAGACTCACTTTAATTCCATTTCCATTGAGAGATCGGGCAAAAGCATGGTTTAATTCGTTAACTCCGGGTTCTGTGCCGTCATGGAGTAACATGGCGGAATTTTTTTTGCGAAATATTTCCCACCAACAAGGAATGCTAAGTCCAGGAACGAGATCTGTCTTTTCAAACAAATGGATGATAAGGCTGTTCCTGACGCGTGGGAAAGGTTCAAAGAGCTGTTGAGGAAATGCCCACACCATGGCATTCCGTACTGTATTCAACTCGAGATGTTTTACAATGGGTTAAATCGCATGGCAAAACAAATGCTCGATGCGACTGCGGGCGGAGCCTTTACAACCATGACCTATAATGAAGGATATGAGATCTTAGAAAAGATATCAGCCAACAATGGGCATTGGGCCGACCCACGTGCTCAATCATAGAAAAAGACTACGGGGATACATGATGTAGATGCATATACTGCATTAACAGCTCAGCTCACCTCCATGACCAACATGCTAAAAAATTTAACTTCCGGTCAAGGAGGACAGCAAGTTGCTAATACACCTGTTCCAACAGTC